AGGTTCGTCCGCATCACACGTGACGTGCTGTAGGCGAGGAATCGACGCTACGAGTTGCAGCGAGGTTCACTCCTGGCGAGCGATCATGACACCTCCTCCGCTCGTTACCTCCTCCGCTCGTGATCTCGTTGCTTCCGAGCAAGTCGCTCGTAAGCAACGAAAGTACCGTCCACGTCACTCCAGTCATCGCGCCGCGACTGCTCGTTCAGGAGACATCTCAGAACGAAGAGGCTTGTCTGCTGCTCTTCATTCCTATTTTTAGTCTTAGTACTCATAGTGCTCCGGGTGTATATAGGTCTCACCGTCCCTCCCTCCCTCCAGTTTTACCCATTCCTTTGGAGGGACCCTTCAGGCACCACTAAAGGCCACTACTAGTACTCCTAGTAGCACTCGTGGTACCAAGTCTCCTCACTACGACTACCCACTTCTTACCCTTCCTCGCGCCTTGGGAATCCCAAGCCTAGTCAGCGACTCCTCGCACCGTGCGATGCCTTTTCTCCAGTGGACACGCTCTCGTCGCCATGGTGCTGCTCGAAGCCACGTGGACCACTCGCATACAACGCTAGACAACACTGACACTGTACCGAGAGTGACTACATCAGTGCCGGTCCACACCCCCTCTGGGCTGCACCCAGCGCAGCTCGCATCATTCCCCGTCAGACCTTATCGCATTGAACGTGTTCCTCCTGCTAGGAGGAGTGCTGCTCCTCCTGCTCCTCGCTGCCTTCCACCTGTCAACCACTCCCATGGCGGCGCTACTGGGAAGGGGAAACCTGGGGGGCTCGCATTGGTGAGCAACGAGTGCACGGTGTGTTTGAGTGACTATAACAAAGGCGAGCTGCTTTGTGCGTTGCCCTGTTCGCATCGGTTCCACGTCAGCTGCATCGACCACTGGCTTCCCGCCACAACCACCTGCCCCACGTGTCGAGCGGACCTCAGGGCTGCACCGTCGGATCATCATGTCACTGTAAACGGCATGATAAAAAAGAGGCAGATGGAGGAAGGAAACTGATAGGCTGGCTTGTGGTCAGGATCCTTTTCCGTGAGGCTGTAATACACGTCAAGGTGCCGCCACTACTGGAAGATGTGACTGAAAGAAGCCTGGGGACAACGCCAGCTCTGGGGGTGACTAAGAAGGTGGTGTGACAATATTGAAAGTTGAAAACGAGGCAGGCTGGTTCGCTTTGAAGACAACAAGTTCTGTGTGACTGTAAAGGCGTGAGAGTTACGGCGGCGGAGGGAAGCACACCAATCTGCGGCTCTCCACGCATTCCCTCGTTCGCACGCCCGCGCATTCTTTTTTTTCTTCTTTTTTTCCCGCTCATTCGTTTTCCTTTTTGTTTTCAGCTCCAGCTGCGTTCTTAGCTAGTGTGTCAAGTTGCTGACACAAAGGACTGCGTTCTTAGCTAGCTAAGAGACTCAGGCTGCGTTCTTAGCTAGTGTGTCAAGTTGCTGACACAAAGCTGTGAGGGGTGACGATTTGAGCATGCCTACAGAGGTGGAATGCTCTAATTCGTCAGTAGCCTTGTGTCAGGGCATGACACTGCCAAGAACGCACCCTTAGTTTCTTCTTTGAGTCACTTGCATTTTGGTTCCTAGGAACTTCTAATAATATTGATTTGTTTTGCTCGGGTACCTGTTTCAGGTATGTTTAAGCTTAGAACACGGCGAGTCCCTTGTTTTTTTTTTTTTTTCCATTTCTCAAGAGCATCGAATGACATGGTTCAGAAATGTTGCTCTTGGAGTTTCTAGTTTTAAGGGCCGTTGTTGTAAGCTTGCCATGTCCTGTGTTCAGTGTTCTTTGATCTATAACTGATCAATTTCAAAGGTTGTGTTGCCAGGAAGAAAGACCACACCTAATCTCTTGGTCACTGTGTGAGCAACACACATGGTAGGTGCAGCTGTACATTACATACAAGCTCTTCAATTATTCAGCACAGCATTTACCAAACCTAGAATTTTCGGTTGATGGTTCACAACTGCATGCACTGCAGCCATGCTTCGCTTCACATACTTCTTTTCTACAGTTGCATTGCACCTCTTTCTGCTGGGGGTCAGCTAGAAACGTTTACATGGGGTGCTCCCATTTACACTCTTATCACTGCAATCACTTCAAACCATCAGCCTCATTGCTCTGCCCTGCCTGACCAGGCCACATCCTAGGTACGGCAACGTCAGCCACCTTGCCAAGGTCTTCATGTTCGGCACTTACTTCATGTGTTGACAGGATATTATTTTGACGCTTCACCTGTGCATACACTGCACGCACTCTTCACTTCCCCCTTTTCTACAGTTGCTCCTGCTGCGGGCCAGCTAGAAGCGTTCCACATGGCCATCACTGCCAATGACCATCACTGCCAACCACCAACATAATATTTAGATAGTTTTGTATAATCATTTTACTGTAGTACTACAAGAGTCAAACAAAAGAGCACAAATAACTTGCAACTGCATCTAGAAAACTTTGGTTTCCTAACCGGGTTTGGCGCTTCCGCAGTCAGGTGCTCATGACTGCTGCTCGTGTTTACGCTACCATAAACACTACCCCAGTTAGGAGAGGTAGCTGTTCGAACTGGTTTGGCGCTTCTACAGTCATTGCCTGTGTGCTCATGACCGCTACTGAAACTCTGCTGCCGCCGCCGCCGCTGCTGCTGCTGCTGGTGCTGAAAACGCTAAGATTAACACTAGCCCGACCAGGTGAGCCAATTGTTGACTTGCGTGAAAGTGTTGGCATCGTATCCTGTGGTGTCCGTGATGATCCCAGGGTCCACCCAGTCCGCGCGGGAAGACGCAGCGCCAGGCCCCTTGCTGCCCGCCTCCGCTAGAAACATGCAGCTGCCCTCGTTCCAGACAGCCACCCGTCCTTCTCGATCACCTGCGAGGGGATGGGAGATGGGAGATGAGATGGGGGGAAGGTGGGGTGGGGAGGTGGGAGGAAGGTAGGTAAGCAAACATGCAGCTTGCTCTCGTTCTACCATAGCCATCCAGGGATTACGGTTAACGAAAGGTGGATGGGGAGTGATACGAACCGCGCGGTTGAGTGATTCATTGCCTACTCTCAGAGGAGTGACGGAAACGGAAACGGAAACGGAAATCGCGCAGACAAAAACGGAAGGAAGGAATGCGTACCGCGGGGAGATCGGCGTTGATGAAAACATTGAAGGCGCATTACTTCCACGGACGGCCCAGATACACCTTGGTTGTGCCGATGTCCGCCGAGACAACAGCGTCGCGAATCACAATCCCCGTCGGGGTATCCTTGGCGCAGCCCGACGCCGTCAGAGTCCCGAAAGAGGGGCTCGGGTGTAGCTGAATCTTCGGCGCGTCGATAACAACAGCCGTGTCACCGAAAATGAAATCCTGCGAGTCACCAATGTAGCAGTTTTTGTAGTACTGGCGACCCGCGTCCACGTACAATGTATCTTGCGGTCCGTCGAACGCGTAGTCGAAGAGAGCTGATTGGTTGCCTGTGGCGCGGAAAGCAACTGCTTGGTGATTCTCGGGGCCTGCGGTGTTCTCGAATTTGATTCCGAGAGCGACGAACCTGACGGGTGGCTACCAGGTGGGTGGGTAGATGAGGCAAGGGCAGTAAGAGAAATGCAGGTGTCAAACATTTATCATATAGCTTGTCTAGGCTATAGTGGGGTAGACAGTATAGGGTACAGTTTCCTAGGGCTTCCTACTTGTATCCAATCTTGTGCTAGTTCATTCATTCCTCATTTCTTCACATAGTATAGAGCATGTTCCCTAGTGGGAACGCTTACTTGGGCCCACCACTGAATTTTTTTCGTGACCGGAGCGTCAGTTGCCTGCCCGAGGCGCGCCTTGTGGGCCGCCCTTCTGTCAAACTCTCTTAGAGGCCCCTCTCACGGCCCCTCGCGCCACCCTTAGCGGCCCCGTTGCCGCCCCTAGCGGCCCCGTCACCGCCCTTCCAGGCCCCTCGCGGCCCATAGCGGCCCCATCGCCGCCCCTACGCGGCCCTGTCGCCGCCCCTAGCGGCCCCGTCGCCGCCTCTCTCCCTACGCGGTCCCGTCACCGCCCCTAGCGGCCCCGTCGCCGCCCCTACGCGGCCCCGTCGCCGACCCTACGCGGCCCCGTCGCCGCCCCTACCGGCCCCGTCACCGCTCCCCTCCCTACGCAGCCCCGTCGCCGCCACTACGCGGCCTCGACGCCGCTCCTACGCGGCCCCATAGCCGCCCCTCGCAGCCCCGTCGCCGCTCCCCTCCCTACGCGGCCCTGTCGCCGCCCCTAGCGGCCCCATCGCCGCCTCTGCCGGCCCCGTCGCCGCCTCTACTGGCCCCGTCGCCGCCTCTACCGGCCCCTTCACCGCTGAGCCGCCCAGCAGCAGAGTAGCCGAGCCACCAAGCCGCCGAGCAGCCCAGCAGCTGAGCCGCCCAACAGCCGAGCCGCCGAGCCGCCCAGCAGCCGGGCCGCCGAGCCGCCAAGCCGCCCAGCAATCCAGCCGCCGAGCCGCCCGGCAGCCGAGCCGCCCAACAACCGAGCCGCCGAGCCGCCCAGCAGCCGAGCCGCTGAGCCGCCGACCCGCCCAGCAGCCGAGCCGACGACCCGCCCTGCCGTCGAGCCGCTACTGTTCCTATCGGCGCGCCCCGGCCCTACTCACTCGGACTGGTGAGATCACTCCTTGCTAGGCCACTGCAGTCATGGCTACCCCGAGTGTCCTTACCTTTGATGCTGAGGGTCGTGCTGTTGACTTTGAGGTCTAGGTCGATGACCTCCAGCTGGTCCTACAGTGCGATAGGGCAGACGGACTCTCACTGTTCAATCTCACCTCTGGTGCCTCTCCTGCCCTGCCTGCTACTGCTGACAGCACTGTTCGCTCACAGTGGGCCACACGCGATGCTGCTGCCCGTCTTGCTGTGCGTCGCCACTTACCGACCACTGAGCGTGCGCACTTTAACCAGTACAAGAGTGCTCACACCTTGTACGGCGCTGTAGTTGCACGCTACTCTTCCCCTGCCACTGCTGCGCTTAGCCGCCTCATGCTACCGTACCTGTTCCCTGACCTTGCTGCCTTTCCAACAGTCACTGACCTCATTACGCACCTTCGCACTAGCGACACTCGCTACCGCGCTGCGCTTCCTGCTAAGTTCTGTGCCAAGAACCCCCCCCCCATGTACATCACCCTCTACTACATAGTCACCCGGCTCCCTGACTCCTTTCGCTTACTCAGGGACCACTTCCTCTCAGTTTGCCCCACCACACTCACCGTTGACCTCCTCGAGGAGCGCCTCCTAGCAGCAGAGAAGAGCATTGTCGCTGTAGGAGCCTCTCGTGGTGACCCTCGCACCCCCGTCTTTGAGGGGTGTTCCCCTACCTCCCTCTTGCCCTCTTTTGCCTCTGCTGCTGCGGCCGACCTCGTTGGTTTCGAGTCGGTCGGCGTTGCGTCTACCCCTAGTGGGAGACGCCGCACCGGCAAGGGCAAGGGGGGCAAGGGCGCTGGAGGGGCTGGCGGGGGTGGTGGAGGTGGTGGTGGAGGCAATGGAGGGGGTGGGGGTGGTGGTGGGAGTGGTGGCGGGGGTGGAGGTGTCGGTGGCAGCAGTGGAGGCGGAGGAGGCGGCAGCGGTGGCGGAGGGAGCGGAGGCGGCGGAGGTGGCGGAGGCGGCGGAGGTGGCGGAGGCGGCGGAGGTGGCGGAGGCAGCGGCGGCAGCGATGGAGCTGGTCGCGGCTCTGCACAGAGGAGTGGGTCTGGTGGTGGTCCGCGCCAGCAGCACCAGCGCACTCGTGAGACCCTGTCCCCTCAGCCGCTTAGTCGGCCGGTTGCGGTCTCCCTGGCGGACCCCTCTGGGGGTCCTGTCCTTGCTAGCTTCTCCACTGTCTTACCGTGCCCGGCAGCCCCCTCTGGCACCCTGTCAGGTCTCTACCTCCCCTCGTTCTCTACGAACTTGGTGAGTGGAGCTGGTCTACTGGATAGGGGGGTTGACCAGTTCACCCCTGCGAGTCAGCGGGTGACCCACTGCACGTGTGCTTGGACGGGCCGACACTTGGCCACGTTTACCCGTCGGCCGGGGTCGAGCCTGTACACACTGACTACTGAGTCTCCTCCGGTTGCTGAGTCTAGTCAGGTAGCTGCGTCGAGTCAAGTGTTTGCTGCAGCGTCCAGGTCTGGTCCTGAGTCTGCGCCCTGCTCGTCTCGTCTCCTGTCCCACCAGACTCTCCTTTGGCACCACCGCCTTGGTCACCCCTCCCTGCCTCGTTTCCGAGGCATGGCCTCACGTGTCCTTGTCTCTGGTCTTCCCCGGTCCCTACCTCCCCTACCTCCGGGGCCTGCCCCTACTTGCGTCCCTTGCGTCGAGGGGCGACAGCGCGCCGCCCCTCACTCCTCCGAGTTTCCTCCGACAGAGGCTCCGCTGCAGACTCTTCACATGAACGTGTGGGGCCACGCCCACGTCCGTGGCCAGGGTCACGAGCGTTACTTCCTGTTGGTGGTTGACGACTACTTGGGTTACACCACGTTGTTCCCCTTGCGCAGCAAGGGTGACGTCACTGAGGTGTTGATCGACTGGATCCGCGCAGCTCGTATCTAGCTCAGAGAGAGTTTCGGCTCGGACTTTCTTGTTCTACGTCTGCACTCTGACAGAGGCGGAGAGTTTTCCTCTGGCCTTTTGGGAGCCTTCTGTCGTGCACAGGGCATCCGCCAGACCTTCACGCTTCCGGCCTCTCCACACCAAAATGGGATTGCTGAGCGCCGCATTGGCATGGTCATGGACGTTGCACGTACGTCCATGATTCATGCGGCTGCCCCCATTTTCTGTGGCCGTTTGCGGTTCAGTACGCAGCGCATCAGCTCAACCTTCAGCCCTGGGTCTCCTTGCCAGAGACCTCCCCCACTTTGTGGTGGACGGGGAATGTTGGCGATGCGTCTACGTTTCGGGTCTAGGGATCTCGGGCGTTTGTCCGCGACTTGTCTGCGGACAAGCTGTCCCCCCGTGCTGTTCTCTGCGTCTTCCTTGGCTTCCTCCCTAACGCGCCTTGGTGACAGTTTTACCACCCCACCTCGCGTCGTGTTCTGTCCTCCTAGGACGTCACCTTTGACGAGTCGGTGCCTTACTACCGTCTCTTCCCCTACCGCACTGCGCCCCTCCCCCTGCTGCCGCTCTTCCTTGCGCCAGGTCCTCCCCCGGTAGACCCCCTCCCCCCTCAGGGTCCTGCCCCGTCACGTGTGTCCCAGGTAGATGCAGTCAAGCCTGTCGAGGTAGCTATTGACTTTAGTGTTGCTAGAGGTGCTGAGCCTCCGGGTGCCGGGTCTGGAGGTGCTGAGCTTGAGGGTGCGGAGCCTGGGGGTGCTGAGTCCAGGGGTGCGGAGCCTGGGGGTGCTGAGCCTGGGGGTGCTGAGTCTGGGGGTGCTGAGTCTGGGGGTGCTGAGCCTGGGGGTGCTGAGCCTTGGGGTGCGGAGCCTGGGGGTACTGGGTCTGCTCGTGTGGCCTATCGTGGTGATTTGTTGAGGCGGGAGCTACTCTCTACGCACGAGCTGCGCGAGTGGTTTGCCCGGCGCTGGAGCCGTGCTGCTGGAGCTGGAGTTGCTACTGTTGCTGCTAGTCTTGGAGGTGCTCCTACTGGCGACACTGAAGCTGCTGGGACTGGGGGTGCTGCTGGAGCTGCTGGAGTTGGTCCTACTAGAGGTACTGCTGGAGCTCCTGGCGGTATTGGAGCTGCCGGTCCTGCTGGAGTTGGTGCTGCTGGAGCTGGAGCTGCTGGGGGTGTTGGCGCTGGTGGTTTTGCTAGCGCTGGTGTGTCTCAGGGTGCTGGAGTTGGCGCTGTTGAAGCTGGAGGTGCTGCTGGCGCTGGTGCTGCCGCTGGGGGTACTAGTGCTGTCCCCGCTGGTTCTGGAGGCGCTTCGCGGCCGAGGCCGTACTTCATTCCGCTCCTTGAGCAGGTTCTTGGTCTCCCGCCCTCTACTGGTCTTGCTCCTCCCTTAGAGTGTCCACAGCCTGTCAAGTCGCAGTCACAGTTACAACCCGCCTCCCCCCTACCTGTTTCTTCTCCCTACACTGGTCCTACTGGAGGTCTTGCTGAGCGTCGTGAGCCTGCGTCTCGTCCTGCGTCACCTGTTCGTGCTGCTTGCACTAGTGGTCGTGCTCCGCGTCCGCGTCCTCCTGTAGTCCCAGGCACACATCAGATGGCACTGCGTCCTTCCACTGCTCCTTTGCGTGTCCCGTTGCCGTCTCCTCCAGAGTCCTCTCTTCCTGTTCTCCCTGACCCGGACTCTGACTCTCTTCGTGCTGCCAGTCCTACTGTCACGCGTCTCCTGGCTACTATTGTCACTGACCCTTCCTTTGAGTCCACTGCTGCGTTGACCCTAGCTGCTGAGCTTGTCAACTTTGCTGCTCGCTGCCGTCTAGACTACGCTATTAGTCTTGTTGCTGAGTCTGAGTCTGTCTAACCTCCGTCCATCGGGGGTGAGTATGCTCTTGGCACGGACGTCCTTGAGGACAGTCAGGAGGAGTTCCAGTGTTTTGCTGTTGCTTTCCCTCATCTCGTGTCCACGCTGATTGCCCCTGAGGGAGACCCGGATGCACCAGACATCCTGACTCCTCGATCGTACGCTGAGGCGATCGAGGGTCGCTACTCCTCTCAGTGGCAGTCAGCCATAGACGCTGAGATGGCTTTCTAGAAGTCCACAAGCACCTACGTCGACGAGGTTCCCCCACCTGGGGTGAACATCGTCAGTGGCAGGTGGATTTTCAGGGTGAAGCGGCCGCCGGGTTCTCCGCCAGTCTTCAAGGCGCGTTACGTGGCTCGAGGCTTCAGTCAGTGGCAGGGAGTTGACTACTTTTAGACCTTCTCTCCCACCCCGAAGATGACCACTCTTCGGGTGCTGCTGCACATTGCCGCTCAGCGCGACTACGAGCTTCACTCTCTTGACTTCAGCACAGCTTTCTTGCAACGCAGCCTGCACGAGGAGATCTGGCTGCGCCGCCCACCTGGCTTCACTAAGTCGTTTCCTCCTCGTACCCAGTGGAGCCTCCGGCGGCCAGTCTACGGTCTCCGCCAGGCGCCCCGTGAGTGGCACGACACACTGAGGACTACACTTGCGGCTCTTGGGTTTGCTCCTTCTACTGCCGACCCGTCGCTGATTCTGCGCACCGACACCTCTTTGCCGCCATTCTACATCCTCGTGTACGTCGACGACTTGGTCTTTGCTACTACTGACATAGTTGGACTCGCCCACGTGAAGTCCGAGTTGCAGAAGAGACACACGTGCACAGACCTGGGTGAACTGCGCAGCTACCTTGGCTTGCAGATCACCTGGGACAGAGCACAGCGCACCATTACCCTGACTCAGTCACACATGGTGCAGCAGGTTTTTCAGCGCTTCGACTTCACGTACTCCTCGCCTCAGGTCACTCCTCTGCCTACTTGCCACTCGCTCTCAGCTCTGCCTTCGGATGAGTCCGTAGAGCCGAGTGGCCCGTACCCAGAGCTTGTTGGCTGCCTCATGTACCTGATGACCTGCACACGTCCTGACCTTGCATACCCTCTTAGCATCTTGGCACGCTTTGTTGCTCCTTGTAGACACCGACCAGAGCACATGGCTGCAGCGAAGAGGGTGTTGCGCTACTTGTGCAGTACGTCGGGCATGGGGCTAGTGCTTGAAGGGCGACGTCAAGTGGTCCTCACAGGTCACGCAGACGCTTCTTGGGCTAACGACTAGGCTACGCAGCGGTCCTCACAGGGTTACACCTTCAACCTTGGCTCCGGCTCTGTTTCGTGGCGGTCTACCCGCTCGTCCTCTGTTCTCGGCTCCAGCTGTGAGGCTGAGATCTACGTGGGGGCCATGGCTGCACAGGAGTTACGTCGGCTCACCTACCTGCTGACTGACCTAGGAGAGACGCCTCGTTCTCCTCCAGTTCTGTACGTAGACAACAAGGCCATGCTGGCCTTGTGTCGGGAGCACAGACTGGAGCACAGAACGAAGCACATTGCTCTTCGCTACTTCCTTGCTCGTGAGCTGCAGCAGCGTGGTCAGCTGCGCCTTGCTTACGTGGCCTCTCAGGCCAACACTGCTGATATCTTTACCAAGGCACTTCCGCCTGGTGATCATTAGCGCTTCTGTACGATGCTAGGTATTGTGCCTACTTGGCCTCACTTGCTCACTTCTTGACCTTGCTTGTACTATGATCTTTTTATACCTGCACTTGCCTGTTTACCTTCATATATGATCTTGCATGTGAACTGGCCTTGTGGCCTTGCTCTTGTGCAAAAGCGAAAGCGACGAACCTGACGGGTGGTTACCAGGTGGGTGGGTAGATGAGGCAAGGGCAGTAAGAGAAAGGCAGGAAGCCGTGAGTGAGATGGAAGCGAGGGGGAGAGCAGAGAGAAGGGCAGAAACGGGGGAGAGAGATAAGGACAGAAACAGGGGAGAGGGATAAACGGGAGAGATATTCGGGAAGAAGGGGAAAGAACGGTATTACCTATTGCTATCCACGCCGACTATAGCCGACTCGAAGGTCCCCGACCCGCTGCCGTAGCTCACGTCGCCCGTGATAATCGTCTTGTCCGCGCCTGCACGAATCAGAACGACATCTGTCGTTTCAATCAACACCTGCTCTGTGAGGATCTATGATCGAGCTCAGAAAAGGGAATTAGACTTGAGTCGAATTGAATGATCACCTGGGTACAACACGAGGCTATATATAGGCTCGACACAAGGCCCCGTAACCAGGTGTTAGGCGAAGGTTCCGCGGGCCGCGTAGCGTCCCGAACGGATCCTTACCGAATTCGGTAGAAGGCAATTCGGTGGCAAGCGAAAAGGCCAGAATTCGGTGCACGCAACCTAGCTCGGTGCTATAACTATAATAAAATATAGGAAAGCACCTAGCCTAGGAAATCAAGCAATTCATGCATGCATATGATTATCCTATGCTAGAAATAGCATGATGAAGTAAAGGCAAGCAAGCATAGCTGGCATAAGCCGTCGTACTCTCACACGTCCCCCCCTCAAAGCAGGGTGGCGTGAGATACACCCTGCTTGACAAGATAGTCCTTGAGAGCACGGCGTGCGTTGCCCATATCAGCTTCTGCAACCCAACTGTCCTCAGTGGGGTCGTATCCCTTCCAGCGTATCA